CCAAAAATAAAAAATACTGCCACAAAATGAAGGTCAACATTCTCCAGTCTCAATAAATTACACCATAACATACATAGAGCTCCATTTAGTGGTCCAAAAAAGTTACTTATTAAGCATTCTATCTAAAAATTTGTATGAGGCACACCTATCATAAGAGCCAATTTAAATGGTCATTCATATACAATATAGTTGGCAACTGATGCATATCTGGCATGCCCATCCAAAAAGGGTTTATGGCAAATAATTTTATGCAAATTTTGTATAATGTAACATTAAAAGTCTGAAGGGAATTAAACTCTGCTGGAAAAATAAGGTTACAGGAGCAAGCCTATAACATTGAGGTAAATGGCTGTCTAGCTAAATTGGGAAGTTATCACCAAGCTAGCAGTAGTTTTGGTGATTTTTGGTGTAGTTTTGGTGAGCCAAATTTGTCAAAAAATCGCCAGATGTCGCCAAACTTAGCAACCTTTGGCGACATTTTGATCTAGTCCCTATGTAACTGTAATTGATCCCTATATATAAATGTAAACATATCCGGTCTTTATACGTAACTTCAATCGTATATGCCTTTCAATAACTGTGAGAAATGATAGGTACTGGAAAGTTCACAGCAGCCAGGGAAAATTTTTAGACGTGAGTCTGTGTATATTTTTAGACGTGAGACAGTGTATCAGAAACTCTAAAGATATGCTCAATTTAAAATTATTTTACGATATTGCTCTTGAACTGGATTTTATGGTTTAAGTGCAAAGAATATGCTGAATAAGACCGGCAGTTTTTAGTTGAGTTGACTTCAGAATATTGAGAGATCTCCATGTGACCTTCGCATGCTGTATGAATACTTTTGTAGAAAGTTCCAAAACAGTAAAATGTTTCTTTTGAATGATAAATTTAATCAAGCTATCATTAGTTCAATGTGCATTACAAACCTATACAATGCCCAGGTGTATTGATTATTTTTATTTGTATTGTGTTTTAATAAGTTATTGACTTCAGATATGTTTGTATTCATTTGTTCTGGAAAAACTTTCTTTCAGTATCTTTGTTTTTGTTTTAATGATATTTTAAAAAGTTAACTGAAACATGCAGTCTGTTTTTGAAAGTGAACTGTGATAATAAATTATGAGTTATTTATTAGTATTTTATTAATTAATGTAGTATTTTCTTATTCAACCATAACCATGTCATGTAGAAGCAGGTTTTGATTATTGTATGTGCTGTGTTAAACTTTTGCCTTTGGCAAGTACTGGTTTTAAAAGTTAAAGGAATTTTTTTTTTTAGTCCAAAGGGGCTTTGTCCCCGAGGGACTATTATTTCCGTTTTGTAACTTTGCGTCAAATCACTCTGAATGTTCATTTCACTTTTCAAACTGTTGCCACCAAAAATTATTGCAGTGTATTATATTTGAAGAAATTAAATAATGAAAAATCTGCATAAATGTATGTACGTTTCTTGCATTGTGATAAAACAATGGTACCTTGAGCCATCAAATTTTGAACAACGTAATCCTACTGCGAATTATTTTATTATTGATTTCATATTTTGTAAAACTTTGACAAATTTTTGATTAACAAATTCAAGGATTCCAAAGCGAGCAATAGAAATGTTGTATACACAAAAGATTTTTAGATTGTGTATAGACTGTAGGGACTGTGTATATTTTTAGACGTGAGACAGTGTATCGGAAACTCTAAAGATATGCTCAATTTAAAATTATTTTGCGATATTGCTCTTGAACTGGATTTTATGGTTTAAGTGCGAAGAATATGCTATTTAATAAATAAAGGTAACACACAAAATGTTAAAAAAAAACCGCCGCTTTGGACATAATTTAAAATCTGAAATATAATTATACATAATGAAACATAATTTAAATTCTTTCAGATTTTCTTTTACGTAATTCTGAAGACATTTCATTTTTTTTAAGGGATTGGCTGACAGATTTTTTTATATGTTAGCAGAGTTTGATAGTTTTATGTATACAATTAACTCATTTAACTATATCTGCTATTGTTGATTAAAGCTTTTTTCAACATAAAAGTGAGACAAAAAGATTTTATTTTATTTCAGGTATGTGAAACCTATCCCATTAAAATATTTATAATCATGCAATTTAGTTGGCTGAATTGTTGAGATGAAAATAAATTAATGATATAATTTCACATGTTTGCATGGAAAACTATCTGCAATAATTTGAAACATAATTAGCAGAGAAAAGTGATACGGACTAAAAGTGAGTTTCCAGACTAATAGAACTTTTCGTGCTAATCATCAGTTTTTGTGGTGTCATCTAAAAAATAAATAATTAACTAAATTCAGTTGATCATTGCAGGCTTTGAATAAACTGACCTCTGAAAAATTTTAGTTCTTTTGTAGGTAACTTAATTATTGTAAATTAATTTTAATTACCACATGTTCGATGATTATCATGCAAAGTTTTACTAAACAGCAACAATAATTTTACTGTGACTAATGGATAGAAATGATCAAAAAGGCTTTCAGATTCTATGTTAGTTTTAATATTTTTTACTGAATAACTATCTTGAGATGACCACCTCTAAAGATGATTAGCATTTCTAAGAACATTGATGCCAACATTTCCTCTTTAAAAAGACCACCCCCACAGAAGACTTATTTTGAATGATAATTTTAGAAAATTTATTTGAAAATTAGAGTTTCTTAAAGTTAAATTCCTAATGTTTTAAGTATTGATTAAAATGTATGTATATTATTTATTAACAATAAGCCTAAAATGTATTTAACATGTATTTTATGTTTCCTTACTATTTTAGCCGAGTCGCAGTACGGCAGGACACTTGTTGCATTTTGGCATTATCCTTGAACATAAATCAAAAAGTCCATCCGGTAATCTGGTCACTTAGTGGCTTACCATTTGATTGTCTATATGCAATGGCAGTACCTAAACCTATTGGTATGTATTTCTTGGTGACCTAATAAAAGCATGCTAGATTTAAAAAAAAAAAAAAAAAAAAAAAAAAAAAAAAAAAAAAAAAAGGCAATTATTGTTTACATGACAAATATCCACATGGATAAAAGCCCCCAAAGATAAAAGTCTGCATTGAAATGCCTACTATGATAACAGCCTACATGGATATATCAATCAATCAATATTTATGCACCTCTCCTGCAATCAGTTATGCAACTGAGGGAACTGTTTCCCTTACTGAGACACCCCCATATTAGACAGGGGGCAGATCAACAGCAGGCGAGCCTGAAATGAACTCTCTCATCGGGCTGGAGTACTGGGCGACAAACTCCAAAACTTAGCCACAGTCCATTTATCTAATTCAACTTAGGAGTTTTGAACGAATTCACTTATGTCTGGAGAACCGGGCCCCAACCGGCTCTTAGCCACAGACAAAATAACTCCAAAAACCCTCCGCTTATTAGGCTGGGCCCGAGGGGTCACCACTCCCTGTTCTTGGTTTTTCGGTGGAGGCGTAACCTGAACACCTGATGGACTTGACTGATTGCTGTATTTGGAAGGGTCCCATCTCTCACAGCTGTTGATCAATATTCATGAAGGTGGTATAATATGGACAGTGTCTCTTTCGATATTGCTTTTGGTAAATCCTCTGCACTAGGTGTCCACTGCCACCTGCTCCTGTCAGTACTGTAGTACTGCTCCTGTCAGTACTACATCGCCAGTGTGTCATATCACATTATCTAGCAAACTCGATGCCATCTCACACCAAGCTACAGAAGCATCTGTTCTATGACTTACGCCTATCCTCCGAGGTCAGACCGTATAGATGATCCAAACCCGGGTTTTGAAACTGCCAGGTTCGTGATATTATACCCCCATGGCCGAGACTGCCTAGGTTCAGATCCTAGCCAGTAGCTTCGTAGAGTTCTCTACATCGACCCTGGGAGGGGTATATGAATATATGGCTTGTTTCCGAGTTCGACCAACTAGTTCATAGACGTGATAGTAGGTCTTTAGAAGATGAAAAATTGACATAAAACATAGGGTCGCAAACAGTGGCGGCTCGTAATAAGCACTGTGGAACTGCAGCACCCCTTATTTCCACTTATTATTATTTTTAATATTTAATATAGTGTGCCCTTTAGTCTTTAATTCTTTCTTTATATTTTTTACATACATAATCCTAAGCTTAATGTCAGTTGCCATCCTCTACTTTGGAAAAAGGTAGGAAACTCTTTGTTGGAACTGCGCGCTTCACAGCACGTGTGCTTGGATGTTCTGGCATGCGCTACAGAAGCCCGCGGCCGGGTAGCGAGAAGAGCACTGTCGCTTTGCGTGCCAAAATTCTGACATTTTTGAAACATGATTTTTTTTTTTTTTTTTGCTCTGCGCTGTGGTATTCCACAGATGGACTTCATCTACGGACCAAACAGAGTTCGTGAAAATTTGCAACCTTTAAAAAGTTGCCTTACTGAAATCAATCAACCAAATCAGATCAAACTATTGCAAAGCAACGATTCAAAAAAAAAAAAAAAAAAAAAAAAAACTATTGATTATAATTTCAAGTTTTGGTTAGAACTTTTTTATCAGATGCGTCATGCTAAATAATATACAACTAAATGCAATCCAGAAATTAGTGTGTTTAAAGTTAACGATATATAAAAAATTTCAAAACTGCTATTTTAGAATTAAGAACTCAAAGTACTGTAGAATTTCAAAGCCCTGGTGGCAGAAGCTAAGGAATTGTTTTTATACTGTGTATTGATATAATGCACAGGTATTCTTCCACGAAATACTTAGCAGCTGATGCTAAATTGTTAAACAGAAATGCTCACTATTTTTAGGAATAACCATTCTACAGAAAATAGTACTGACCACTAAGCATTTAATGATTGACACAGAAACTTGAACTGAAAAAAAAGTATTCTATTGTAGGTCTGATATCCTGATACTGCAACGAACAGATAAAAATTCTCTGAGAGTTCCCATGACTACATCAGAGGCAGACGCTGCTTTTCACCTTTAAAAATGAAAACTTTTCTAAAGCACTAGGAATTCGAAAAGACAAATGCGCGCATTGATTCAAAAGAAAAATTTCCCTCATTGTCATCCCAGAGATTTCAAGGAGAAAATTATTGATCTTTTCGCACAATAAAACAAGAGAATGGTTCATTTTAAATGAATAGGCAAAGATTTAACTGTAACAATTTTGGTTAAGTATTAAGAAATGTTTAATTTTTTTTGTAAATTTCATGAACTTTCAAAATAAATTTTCTTTTTATACATGTTTATTTCCTTTTAGACAATTTTAAAACAAAGGTTAAATTTTTTTGGAACAGCACCCAAACTAATTTTAGCCACGAGCCGCCACTGGTCGCAAACCATGTTTAGTGGGCGAATATTGCAAAAATTGTTATGAAAGGAGTGACATCAAATGGAACAAAAGAAGCCAAAAAAAAAAAAAAATATTTGACTTAAAGCAGGATTACAGTGCATCATAGTTCAACATAAGAAAGGACATGATGAGACAGTTTTATAGGAATTGTTTGAAATTACATCCTCGAAGGTCATTGCACAGCAGAAAACAACGGATGAAAGATTGCCAAACACATTCAAACGTATCCAGTGGGCTGCCAATGTATGCTGAAATGACAATAATCTGTGCAGTCAGATCCTCTATTGTATCCCTAGGCATCTGATAAACAAACAATTTCAGGTGGTCCCTCAAGAAGAAATCCAAGGGATTGAGGTTTAGGGAGCATGGATGCCAAGTAACAGGTCTGCGTCTTCCAAGCCGCCTATGGGGATATGTAGTATCGATGTGTTTACGCATTGCATTCGCAAAATGTGCTGATATATCATCATGCATGAACCACATGTTTTGTCATACAATGGCCAGTATTCCCTGCATCAAATATGGAAGGATGTGTTGCAGTGAAGAAGGTTGCAGTGAAAGTGTAGTGCTATTGAGGCATTTATTCAAAAGGTACAGTCCCAACAGATGATGTCCAAAAATCCCTGCCCAGATGTTAATACTGAACTTGTATTGCACTTTCAATGAGATGTTGCTGTGGGGATTTGGGGGACGATCACATTTGCGCATTGAGCATTGTACCTTCTCTCATAAAGCGTGCTTCATCTGAGAATAAAATAGTGGTGGGAAACTGGAAATCATTCTGTGTGGCATCAAGCATCCAGTATATGAACTCTATCTGAGGGTAGTTATCGCCATCATCTAGGAGTTGGACCTTCTTCACACAGAACCTTTCACGTCATTTTATGACAAATACCGAATTCAGCTGCAACCAATCATGTTCTGGTTAACGGGAAAATGCCAAACCATAGCAGTGCTCAGTTTTCTGTTTTGGGTGTGCGCACACCGTTCTAGCTCTGTATTATGCCTCGTTATTTGGAAGGGTCCCATCTCTCACAGCTGTTGATCAATATTCATGAAGGTGGTATAATATGGACAGTGTCTCTTTCGATATTGCTTTTGGTAAATCCTCTGCACTAGGTGTCCACTGCCACCTGCTTGGCTGTAAATCAGATGCATGTCCATGTATTTCTCACTTGTGTAATCTGATCTGTTGTTTCTGAAAGAAGTTTTAAAACACCAGTGACTTTTGCAATGCTTACAAATGAATTCTTGCTCACTGCTCTTATTTTCTCCACATACATAGGAAATTTGCACATAAGATGGTTTCTTCTTCTCGACTGCTGCTTTTATTTTCCTCGTAGGAAATTTGCATATGAAAAGGTTTCTTCTCGACTGCAGTGCTCCCAGTCTTCACATTTTTATGACCGCTCTCTTTGTCAGGCTCACTATCCTCTCAACATCTATTTTTATGATTTTCACTTACTAAATGTGGTTTGCAACCCCACATTCTATGGTAATTTTTCATCCTCTTGATGCCTGCTATCATCCCTGTGAATTTGTTGGTCAAATTCGGAAATGCCCTGTGTATGCCACTGCATGAGAAAATAATTTTCATGTTATTTTTAGTTTATACAATTTTAGTGGCACCATCTAAAATTGTATAAAATTTATATGTATTATGCAAGGTAAATTCTTGTTTCAAAATAGAAGTAAAATTACACATTTTATTATGAGTTTTATGTATCTGTGAGCATTTATCATTCTGGGCTTTTATAAAATGTGCTTTATCTGTGTGGGCATTTATCATGCCATGCTTAGTTAGAAAGCATTTATTTTTATTTTTGTAAATTCTGCTATTAAATTAATATTATGTATGTGTTTAGGAGGGGTTCTTTTGGTTGCTGTAAATGCTTTACTTTACCTCAACCAAAGTGTTCCACCATATGGGATTTCCTTAAATAGTTTCACAGATTTTAGTACATCATTTCCTTTAAGTAAGTTCTTTTTTCCTTTCATGTTGAATATTTTGCTTTAAGAACTATGATAACTGATTTAAGACTATGAAAATGCTCATCATATAAACTGAAATTATGTAACATGGCTGAACCTCCATCAATGGACATTCCACTTTAACAGTTTTTTTTCATTAGTAGATAGCTCTGATTCATAGGCTGTCGAAAGTAGGAGATCAGTAAATTACCGTTTAGGGATCACTCCTTGGTACTGGACAAAACACCATACCCTAAGTGTCCACTAACAGGAGGTTCAACTGTACATATTTTCCTTTTATCTGAAATATAATATTTGCATGCAAATTGAAAATGAAATGCATTTACTAAAAATCATATATGATCTCAGTTGATATTCAGATAGAATCAAAATAAAAGGAATACTATTTCATCATTTTATAAAATTATTATATTGGCTCAAATATGAGATAGCTTCACAAGCAAGTTTCAGCATATTTTGTACTAAAGTATATATCATAGGTTCTGAAACATTTTTTCCTGATAAATTTTAAATTTCAATGATACTACAGTCAAAAGTCGTTAATCCAGACTCGTCGGGACTTCGGCGATTCCGGATTATCGATTTTTCCGGATTATAGATCATCAGTTTAAATCTGGTAAGATGGCATGCAGAAATTACAAAATTAAAATATGAAACCTAATTTATAAATAAAGAACAATTATGATCTAGGGATCAAAATTTACAAAAAGAAAAAGCTTAATTATTTGTTTTGCTTTATAAAACATTTCTTTCAATGTAAGTTGCTTCGTTTCATGTGATAACCTTTCTCTTTAATTCTTTAAACAACATAATTTCTTGTTTAGTTACAAAGTTCCGCTGTTCAAGTCCTATAATTGCTGTGTTGAGAATACCAACTAATTTGTGAATCGGAATGTTTTCGTTTTCAATAACCTCTGGATCACTTTCTTCACTATCGGAAGCGAATTATAATGACGAGGAACTTGATTTAAATCATATCAAAGACGGAGTACATCGAGATGAAATACTACACTTAGTAAGGAATTATAAGCCGAATAAAATAAAAACATCTGCCCTGAAGATAAGGATAGTGCTGACAGATCAACATCCAATCCGCAGCGTGAAATTGATAAACAGATTTCGGATTTTAAAACATACTTTCGCTTTGTAGATACAAATTACATATTCGTAAATATATATCTAAAATTTTATTTGACATAATCGAAAGTTCAAGCTTACTTTTATGAAACTGCTCTGACAGTCTGCAAAAAATAATAAGCCGGATCCAATTCGAAGATTAAGGAACAATGCAATCTGTAACATTAACTGAATTAGATAATTTTAGCTTAGCTTATATGTCCGTTACACTTAACGCCATGCACACAAACATATTCGCAGCCGTAAAGGTCTTATGCGCACTCGTAAACGCGACGCATGCGCAGAAAGTTTGTAGCTTTGAGGTCCGGATTATAGATCATTCTGGATTATGGGTGTCCGAATTAACGACTTTTGACTGTATTATAAATGTATATGGAAATAATCACTTACAATTACAAAGAAAAAAATTATGCTAATAATTAATTATATAATTTGTAGCTTATGATATTTAATCACTTAATTCATCATACCATAATGCATCATTGGTAGCTATGACCTAATGATCAGATACATTTCATTTTATGTGGTACATTGCAAAACATTTAATGTGCATTCTTTTGTAATATTGTTTGGTAGAAAGATATTTAGTTTTTCTTGAAATATATATAAATAACAAAAATTATTTGAATAGACTTTTTAGAATTTCAATAAAAATTATGTTATAAAAATTAATTATGAAATATTAAAATATTTTCAAAGCCTAACTGAAAAATCATTGTCATTTGTTTGCATTTTAGCATAAATATGTAACAATATTTATGCTAAAATGACAAAATAATACTAATTGAAATTTCTGCATTATCCTAATGTGTTGTTTATAGGATGGTAGTTTTTGAACAACTGTAAAATGTAAACAAAGATGTATTGCAGAGTTTTCAATATAGTAATAATCAGTATTGAAAATTACATTTAAAAAATTTTCAATATATATTTGATAGTGTACTTTTTAAAAATGCAAAAACATTTTGTTATTCTAAAACATTTTCCTTTAATTATAGAACCACAAGAAGGTGTTAAGTTGTCATTAGATTGCTCATCTGCGGCATTTATTTCTTATGATAAATTAGTGATATCTTTAAAGGGAGGAGAATTGTAAGTAATTTTTCCCCCAGTTTAAATATCAGTTTTATGATGATTTGGGCATTTCATGTTCATAAAATCTTAATTTCACATATCATGTAATATAGTTAAATCCATATCATGTGTTTGATTTTATAGTTATATTTAACAAAAGTTATACATGCAATATATATATATATATTACAAAAATATATTTTGTAAATTTTACAAAATTTGAACTCGATAGCTTATCAGGAAATAGTTTAAAAACCTTTGACGACCTTCTCTTCATAGCCACAAACACCACGAGTGAACTAAATATGTGCTACTTCTTTGCAGAAATATTATTCTGTTTGAAATAGTTCATCAGAAGAATTTTTGCATATTTTTAATTACTTATATAACTACTAATACTCACTTATGACATTTGCTGTCATTTTGCAACAATTATTTTATTTAATTATTTTATTTGCAACAATTATTCCCACACTTAATGATCTTACTACCATTCTGATGAATCGAAAGTTCTGAAAAACCAAACTTTGAGTAGGTACTCATAAATTTAACTTAATAAGTGCTATAAAAATACAACTCTTTTTATATGAGTAGAATTTATCACTGGATGGGAAGGTTTTGCTAGATTTCTTTAGTAATCGGTAGAGTGTTATACCAATTTTAGGTTCTTTTTTCTTAATTTTCAGTCTGTTGCCCTACCACCAACCTCTCGAGAGGACTTTCGGCTCGTTGCATATTTAGAGTGCCCCCATGCTGCACTGACACTATACAGTTACAAACATTCATCCTTCTCCGGGATTCGAACTTGGACCTTTTGTCAGTCAGCGACGCTAACCACTATACCAGTTGGGGTGCAATTTTCAGTTGTTCATGAGTCCACTAAAAAGCTTTGCTGCTTAAAATGTTAATTGCTTAAAAATATTTGCAATCTAAAGCAAATTTGATATTTACATGTTTTTACGTTAATATTTCTTTGCAAAGATAGAATGATAGCTGTCAATACAGACGGGTTTAATGTATTTGGATTACTGCGAAGCACGCAATTCTTTATCTGCCCAAGGGGAAGGAAACTTTCTAAGAGGATAAAAAGCTAAGAAAACTTCCATGCAACCAGCTCGTTGGCCAGGATTTGAACCCGTGTTGAACTAGCTGTGCTTAGCGATTTTAGATGCTCTGCCAGTGGAGATCTAGAGTCTTATTTAAAATCTTGTTTCGAAATCTTCTACCCTAATTTAATGTGTTAATTGTCGTAATATGAGGGTTAGGGTTATTTGAGTAAAGCAAAGCATACGAGAGCTATCGGTGTCTGTGGAGCCCTTTCTGTGGGAAACTGGGTTACACATGTAGAAAACCACGAAAACAAAACAGACAGGAATCCTTTCCCTTCAGTTTGGGTTCGAACCTAGGTCGAACTGCCAGTATAAGAAAAAAATAAATATTACCATAATGTTCTGTATAATAGCTAACAAATAAGTAAAATGTATTTCATTTCTGAAATAATCGTGAACCGAAATTAAGTTTTTTTATGCTAATGATTAATATAATTATGCATCAGTATTAGCACATCATTTCTTTCAAACAACATTTTCTATTCAAACAACCAAATGAATTTGAAATAAATTTATATTGTATTTAAAACAAATAAATTACAGTTAAATTTGGTTTTTAAAAATTATTATTTCTTTTCCAAAACTGTTAAATATATTAATATGTTTTGCTTATTATTAATTTAAAATTTTAAAGAAGTTTTGTATTATTTTAGGTGTATCCTATCCTTGTATCTATTACTAATCTCTAGGTTTGTTCATATGCCCATATTTTAAAAACATGATGCTCTATGTGTAGCGTTATTGTAAGCCCGTTTTTCTCAGAAATTCCTCCCTGGAAATATCTCTTTCGTTATCGATATATCGCATGCTTTAATTCCAAACATCCATATAGGGTTTTATACATTAGTAATCTGAACATAATCTAGACCATGATATTATTCGTAACAGGGAAGTGTTAGACAGGGTTAAAAGGATTGGTCGATACTCCTCAGAGTAGAACTCAAGAACACCAACAATAGTTGACTGTCTGGAAATGAAAATCGAATTTAGATGCAAACTGACACTAACTTTGATTTCATAGGTTAATATTATTATGGTTTATATACTATTTATGTATACAATTAAGTGTATTGAGTGTATTAGGATTTACAAACTATTTTACGCTAAAATAAAACTTCCTAAATGGAATTTTACTCTGTTGGGATCCAGGCTTCTTGGAAACTCCGAAGACTCTAATCTTGGCCCAAACCTTGGGGCGAAAAATCCGTCCCATAGTGTTTATAGCTTAGTAACGAGATAAAGGGATGAACAGGAACAGAGTATCTCTCTCCCCTTTTTTTTAATATTTTGGTTTCCTCTTTTCTCAAACTCCAAACATTACGAAAATGAGTTTTAAAAGACACATTCACCGAGTTTTAGCAATAAAATCGCAAAAAGTGCTATATGTATGCGTGCATGTGTGCGGGCGCGCGCCTGCGTGTGTAATAAAATAAAAGGAAGAAAAACCTAAAAATTTTAAGAAAGAAAAAGAAAAAAATAAGAGTAATTAGTCAATCAGACAAAAGATCAATATTAAGGCAAATTTTACGTGTGACAATACTTTTTCCTGCTAATTCTTAATCTTAAGAAAGTAGAGAGATATTTGCATATTATTTCACCTATTATCATTCAATATTAAAAAATCAGTACCAGAAAAGTAAGATTTAAAATTAATTTGCTCAAATAAATGGTAATAATTTTGAAAGGTGCACAAACAGGAAGATAACTCCCCAAAACATTATTCCCTTCCCTGGACAAAAAAATATGATAATTCAGCAATGTATTTGAATAACTTCCATCTTATTAATGTCTAAATACCATTTGGATTAACATATTTAGAAAGTGTATAATATATTTTGTCCGAACTAGGCTTTTTAAAAATTTTATCCTTTAATAAGTGTAGGTAAGGTCACTGAGTCAAATTTATCTTGTTTTCGCAAAATATCACTTAAACATTTATTTTAATATTTCTTTCTTCTTAAATCATATTTTTAAGATTTCTTATTTTCCTTTACCAAAATCAACAATCATCAATTTTTAGAAAGTGTTTTAATAATTTTTATTTGATTTGATGTGTCAGTAATATTTTATGTTAACATATTTAGTTATGTGCATAATTTATAAAGTTTCGGAATGGGCTTTCGTGTAGCCGATGCTTTAGTTAGGTTACTGAATGAAATATGCTTGTTCCTTCATAAAGTCTCATTTATATATTCACTGTAATGTTTATTTCTTCTTAAAACCATGTTTTCAAGAAATGGCCTGTATTTATTTTACATATTAAAAAAACGCATAAAAATATTACGCAGCCAGCTTTTTAAATCACCATGAACAGACCACGAAAAAAGAAAAGAAAAAGGCCTTTGATCCAAAAATATGCCACGCTATGCCGGAAATTCTTTTATCATATTTATGTTAATTTTATTTCTCATTTGACAAATTAGGACATTTTCTAAATTTCTGAAATATGAAAACAATTTTTTCTTCAATAATTTTTACAGATAGAGTAAGTTCACTATTATTTAAAAAGTGTTAATTCTGTTATTTCAACTTAACAACGCTCCAATTGTGGAGCGGATAGAACTGTTGTACACTGGTATAATTTATTTGTCCAGAGTCCATATCTCGGCAAACGTGCTAGCTACGGACCAGGAGTAGCCATATTCATATAAACAGAAACCACTTGTTATTAATTGTGCTAATTTTAATCAAAGCAAATTAAGAAATAACATTATTGTATTTCTTTTCAAGAATGTGAAAAGTTCTTCATACTTGTGACTGAAAAATGTGACCTGAGAAACAGAACTGATTATTTTCCTTTAATCTGACATCTAAAACAAATAAGATAGAAAAGATTAAATATTTATTTTTATTTAATTACGAATACTTGGCTATTGGTACTTAAGACATAGTCTTTCCATATTATCACTTTTCTATTAGTCCTTAAAATTATGTTAAGGACCTAATAGAATTTGGAAAATCCCATGATTACATAAAACTGTGGGGATGCTAATAATGGCAAATTTTAAATGAAAACGGAAATTTATTTAAATAGACTATAATTATTTTTATATTCTATGTCGTTTCAGTACTATAATTTCAGTTATTACCTGAAATACTGCAATGTTGTCATATAATTTGTAAGTGGGAGTCCTACGATTTTAAATTTATTCATATACGAGCAAAAATATTTTGAAAGGGAAAAAAAAAAAAAAAAATACAATTCATTTAACTGAAACCGTAAGAATTAAAAGGGATTTGTGTGCTTTTCTGCTTTATGCATTTAAGGTAAAAAATGCAGAAAGTGAGAAAATCCATCGAATACAGCAAAGTAATTTCTCAAATCAATGAAGGAATAGATTTTTGATTTTAAATTCCATATTACTAGCAATTGTGTAATAGCTAAACTTACCAAAATATTTTTAGAAAATTTCTTCTGAAATTCTAGAAATCATAAAAATCCTGAAAAACTGTCATTAGGAAGTTTATTGTTTGCCAATTCCATGCTGAAAAGACCAAGCGTTTACAAGGATGAGCTCAACTGTTAATGAACAACTTGTGGGGAAAATTCAATGCTAAATATAAATATGTATGCGAAATTTTCCAAAAATTCCTGAGAAATATTGTACTATTATTATAAATATATGTGGACTTATAATGTGAGGAAAACTGCATCGGTAAAAAATGGATTAAAATTTAATTTCCCAGAATAAATGGGCCTAGTAAAACTACATAAAATAGATAAGTAAATAGTAAAAGAAAATTGTGTAACAAAATAAATAATGGTCTTTCTTAAAATACTGCCCAATAAAACATCACATATTATCAAAATATTATCAAAATATGAACATATTATTATTTGATATAATATAAATAATATTATGTCAAATAATAAACATATTATCAAAATAAATAAGGGTCTTTCTTAAA